CAGGAATTAAGCAAGATAATAGAAAAATTATTTGTAAATAATGAGAAATGAAAAATTTGAAAACAATGAAAAAAGTTCATGAGCTATTGTTATTTTCATTGCGGCATTTCCTCAAGTTCTAGCAATGTCATCAGAGTATAAAAATCCTCAAAAGGTATTCATAAAATTTTTTCAATAAGCAACATTGAAATTAATAACATTTATTAAACACGCCTTAATAACATAATTCTTTTAATTTCATTTATTTATTTATTTTTGGCCAAACAAACACTATTATTTAGCTCAATTTTTTTTTTGAAATTAAATTCCTCAAGTTCTACTGGTTACATAGCCCACTTTGGCTCACTGAGGGAGGGCTCACTGTGATACGGAAGGAAGCAAATCGGTGATGATCATTTGGTGATACCATCTTACAGCCTTTGAGTCTGAACAGCTCCAGTTTTGTCTACTTTTCAAAATAGGCATTTATATGTGATGTCCTACAAATACGCTTTCCACAGCCAAATCAAAGTTTTAAAAGTTTGAGATAATTGGAACACACACATCAGTGATAATATCATTTTATGAATTTTTACATGTTAAATTACTGCAACTTAATAGCATGTTTTAAGTTGATTTCAAGTGATTTTACATTAAGTTTGGGTTTATCTACTATAGAAGTGTCTATACTGAATTTATAATCAAATCAGAAATAACTTCTTTAATGCCAACTGAAACATGCATAAATGGCATTATTCAATATGAATCCAAAATTTTAGTGAAGAATAAAGCTTTATTTTTTTCACAACTTCTCACCGATGGTTTGTTAAATTAGGACAAGCCTACTGACATAAGGAAACATTCTGTCTTTTTATGTGGGAAATAGAAAGACTAAAGAACTGACATTCAAAGTTCAAACTGTGTAAATGAACTGCAGGGAAATGTTAGGCAATAAAGAGAAGTAAGAAAAATTAAATATGAATTAATCTATGTGATCTTATCTAATAACTTTATTTTTGTTTACAACTAAATTTTCAAAACTATATATTTTAGGCCTTTGAACTAAAGAATCACTCATATCTGTGTCTGCTTTTGATACTTCACTAATTTCTGTTAGTGACTTTTATAAAATGTCACACCTGACAAAGAATAGGAAAACTGCAATTCTATAATAGAATCTTAAAACCATGTGATGTTCATGGTACATACTAATGTAACGATATAGCTATAGTTAAACAGAAGAGAGACAAAGTTAATATGAGAAAACTCTTTAAATATTAGGTTAAATTAATTTTTCTGTGTGACAGGAGAAAACTTAAGGCAGTTTAACAATCTGTGAGTTGACACTTTTAAATATTTATTGATTTGCTGTAAAAACATTTTTGGAGTTTAGAATCAGGAGCTATGGGGATGAGAGATTGTAAGAAAAGATAAAATGAATCTGTCTACGTAAATTAAACTTGATTTTTAACATGAACAATAGATTTAGAGTGGTGTGATTTCTCTCTAAAGCATTAATTCATAACATGAAAGCTATGAACTCTTTTTCCTTAAACATGTACAGGAAATCAATATTGTTCATAAGTTTCAAAGAATGCTTTCCTGGAGGTGGTTTCCTAATGGCTCAAATTGACTTACAAAATGGTACTCGAATCAGGAAGCTCCAACATTCTGTTTCAGAGAAACACTGCTACTGAATATAAGACTCTTGTATTGGTTTGAACCCCTGGAGCGCTCCAATAGACAACAGGAGGTGGTGTGGAGCAACATGCTGTTTTAATGAGCACGCGGGTACAGGCAGGCTGAGGCCTAAAATGGCATCAGTCCCAAGTGAGGACCAGGCAAAGGTTTCATAGTCTCCTGTAAACCGGAAGTGTCCTAGTCTGACCTAACTGCTACGTTATACCTGGATGACCTCTTTCTCAATCTTCAGGGGTACGTGCCTTCCGGCCAGGGTAGGTGTCTTCCGGCTGGCTCTCTTCCTGCCTCTGCTATCTTGCTGGCGCACGCTCCTGACTCAACTTGCGCCTTGGGACTGGGCCTGAGAAGGGAGGAGTTATTCATCTCCTTAAGCTTTCAGGCTGCGGGGAGAATCTTACACTGACCAGTGTATTTTTTATTCCAAGGAGCTGAAAATCCATATTTTTATATGAAGCATCATGATTTTTAATATTGTTAACTAAAACAAAGACATCTGTATGAACAAAAGCACAAAAACAAAACTATGAGCCTAAGAGAACATGAACAGCACCAGCTTCTGACTCTCTTTAAATCCCTTGTATGCAGAAGATTGTACAATCTTACAACCTTCCTAAAGGAAATTACACAAACATGTTAAGATTAGTGCAAGAGTAAATAATTATTTTTAAAACCTAAATAAGTTGTTCTTTTCATGTCTGTGGCCCCAAATATGTATAGGGGTTTGCTGCTTTTCTGAGGAAATAATTTCAAACTCCAAGTATGGCTAAGTTATTAAGCTTAAACACAACATCTCATTTAATTTTTTTTTTTTTTCAGTTAATAAGAATGAAAGACAAATTAGTAACAAACATAATAAAGGGTTAAAAACATAGTGATGTGCTAAACAATACTCTCAACCCCTCTGTCTGGAATAACTTAGAGTAAAACAAAACAAACAAAAGCAGAATTTTTTATTTGTGGTCTAGTCATAAATACATTTTTCTAAAATGTATTCTTACCTAGAGGCATCTGAAATGACCTAACAGGCATTTTCAAGACTAGGATTTTAAAGACTCATTAGAAATATACTGACTCCCAATTTTTTTTATCAACTTCAAATCAATCTTAATCTCGCCCATTAAGTGGACATTTTTCATGCCTGGTTTCAACACAAGAAATATTGAAATTAATATGAAGGGCAAAATGATCTATTTAAATATATTTTTAATCAATTCAAGTCAGCAAACTTTTCAATAGACTTTACTTGAATTTTACCAAATTTGGCCAAGTTGCCTGTCTATAAGATAGAAGTGACATGAAAGACTTAAAATTAATGTCTACCTATTTCTTCCCAGACCTATGTGCAGCCCAAGAAATGTAACAGAATACTTTTTGTTGGTTTTTATTTAAAACTTTATTTCTGCTTTGAATAGATATTTCTCCAAAGAATCCACTCATCATATTTGCAACATCGGTCTGATCTTAAAGACCATAAAAAGAAGATGAGTAAGCTTACAGTTACTGGAATTTGAGCAGTTTCAGAAATGTTCCAAATATTTTTAAAGGTATTTGACAATGGTTATTTAAAATGTTTACCGTGTTTCCTGTATATTGACCCTGCTTTTGAAGATTGACTCAATATATTTTAAATTATATTTTAACTTTATGTTGGAAGTAATTTCTGAAAAGCAATAAAGTTATGGATATGATTTGAATGTTTTTGTTTCCTACAAATTTCATGTTGAAATGTAATACCCTCCAAAATTCAGTTGCTTCCAATATGATACTGGGAAGAGGTGGGACGTTTAAGAAAAGATTAGGCCAGGCCGGGCGGGGTGGCTCACACCTATAATCCCATTACTTTGGGAGGCCGGGGCGGGCAGATCAGGAGGTCAAGAGATAGAGACCATCCTTCCAACATGATGAAACCCCGTCTCTACTAAAAATAAAAAAAATTAGCTGGACGCGGTGGCAGGCTTGTAGTCCCATCTACTTGAGAGGCTGAGGCAGGAGAATCGCTTGAACCTGGGAGGCAGAGATGGCAGTGAGCCAAGATCGCAGCATTGCACTCCAGCCTGGGTGACAAAGGGAGACTCTGTCTCAAAAGAAAAAACAAGGGTTTTAAGCGTTTTGGATCATATCATCAGTGTAAAGTAAAATGACATTTCTGTTTAGATAGGCTCTTTTGACTATTAAGATTGGCTTATTAATTATACACATTAGGTTGTTTTATTTGGTCTTATTTTATAATAAAATGAGGCAGAGGTTTGTTGTTGAGATACTGATTTGTTGAATGTTATATATAATTTTACAGGAAAATGTTAAATAATCATTTTAAATGTTTACCTACTTAACATGTATTAAATGCCAAGCACTTCTCATATATTGTATTCTTTTCTTCTATATATTCTAAAATTTCTACAATGTGTCTTTATTACATTTATTTAAATATATGTTTTTAAATCAATATATCTTCTTGGTAAAATATCATCAAATGTAAGGTGAATTAAAAAAAAAAATACTTGTTTATTTCCTTTTTTTCTTTTTTGAGACAGTCTTACTCGATCACCCAGAGTGGAGTGCAGTGGCATATCTCAGCTCACTGCACCTCCACCTCCCAGGTTCAAGCAATTCTCGTGCCTTAACCTCCTGAGTAGCTGGAATTACAGTGGTGCATCTAATTTTTGTATTTTTAGTAGAGATGGGGCTTTACCATGTTGGCCAGGCTGGTCTCAAACTCCAGGGCTTAACTGATCCATCTGTCTCAGCTTCCCAAAGTGCAGGGATTACAGGCATGAGCCGCCAAGCCTGGCTTACATATTATAATTCTTAAATAAATTTATTTTGAAGTAATTTCAGATTTGCAGAAAAGTTGTGAAGACCATTGATAGTTCCCATAAATGTCAGTACCAGTTTTCCCTAATAGTAACAACATCTTACCCTAGTGTCAGTTTATAAAATATTGATACATTATTATTAACCAGAGTATACTATCATTCATATTCTCTTAGTTTTCACCTAATGTCCTTTCTCTGTTTCGGGATCTCACCCAGGACACCTTACTACTTTCAGTCATGATGTCTAACTCACACTCCTTCTGGCTGTAACAGCTTCTCAGGCTTACCTTGTTTTCGATGTCCTGGACATTTTTAGGAGTACTGATTAGATATTTTGCAGGATTTTCCTCATACTAGATTTCTTGAATGGTTTTCTCATGACTGGACTGGAATTATGGTTTGTGGGGAGTAAAAACACCACAGTAAAATGCCATTTCCATCACCTTGTATCAAGAGCACGTGACTCCTCATAGTCCATGTAATCTTGGATCATCTGGCTAAGGTAGTGTTTGTCAGATTTCTTCACTGTAAAGTTGCCCTTTTCCTCCTTTACTCAACGCACTCTGTGGAAGAAAATCACTATGAGCAACCCACACTTAAGGAACTGGGTGTAATGTCTCACTTGTGTGAGAGTGGAGTATCTGCATAAATTATCTGGAATTATTCCGCAAGGGAAATTTGTCTCTAAGTATTCAACATTTTTTATATCAGTATAATCTCATGAATGTTAATTTTATATTTTGGGTTATAATTCAATGTTACTTTATTTTGTGGCATTTTTTTGTTCAGCTTTAACCGCTGGGTACTTATGAGCACTCCTTCCCACCCGCATTTCCAATTGTATGTGTGTACACATGAGCACTTCCTTACTTTCAGACACTACAGAAAATTTCACACTCATTTTATGTATTTCCTGCTCTAGTCCTAAAATCAGCCATTTCTTCAAGAATGTTTTCTTTCTTTAACTGTAAAATGTTATTAGAAACCAAGAACTGAATGCTAAGTTTGCTCTTTGCTACTTTTGTGTGGTTGATTCTAGTACCTCTTAGCTTACAGAGCAAGGAAATACGTGTTTGTATACTCACATCTATACACACACCTATAAATAGGTATATATGTGATCGTCTGTATCTACATTAAACTACACATGAGTTTTACTTATCTCTCCATCTCTAATCCATTAACACATGGATCATTCTTGTGTCTTTTGCTTTCTTATTTGTAACTTTCCTTGACCTCCATTCTGGCTCTCACCATTTGCCATCTGTTTAATTATTTAATTCTTTTTTTTTTTTTTTTTTCCTTTTGAGATGGGGTCTCACTCCTGTCACCCAGGCCATTGCGGCTCTCTGAACTCTCCACCTCCCGGGTTCAAGCAATTCTCCTGTCTCAGACTCCTGAGTAGCTGGGATTACAGGTACCCACCACCACGCCAGCTAATTTTTTCTTTTTCTTTTTTTTTTTTTTTTTGTACTTTTAGTAGAGATGGGGTTTTGCCATGTTCACCAGGCTGGAACCCCTGACCTCTGGTGATCTGCCCACCTTGGCCTCCCAAAGTGCTGGGATTACAGGCATGAGCCACCGCACGCAGCCTGTTTAATTCTTTTTATGTGTGTATTGGTTACAGAGTTGTAAACGCACATACTCATGGAAAACCACCTCAACAACTACAGTGCAATGCTCATGTATGATTTCTTTTGTCTTAAGTCTTATGGACTATCCTTTACTTTTATTGAGTCTTTGTATATCAGTGTGTATCTTGAATACAACAGATAGCTGTTATTTTTTGTTTTTGTTTTTGTTTTTAAATCCACTCTGACAAACTCCGTCTTTTAATTGGTATATTTAGACCTTCACATATAAAATGCTTATTAACATGGTTGGATTAATATATAACATGCTTGTAACTGTTTTCTATTCATTAAATGTGTTCTTTGTTTCTTTATTTCCCACTTGGTTTCTGCCTTCTCCAGTTCAGATTGAGAATTTTATACAATGCTATTTTATCTCCTTTCTTAGCATAATTACACTCTTAAAATATTTTAGCGATTGCCCTAGAGTTTACACTATACATTTTTAACTAATGCAAATCCACCTTCATATAGCACTATACTACCATGCCTGTAGAACACACATTTCATAACAGAGGATCCCCAATTGCTCCTTCCTATCTCTTCCGACACTAATGTCATGCATTTTGCTGATTCATGTGTTCTAATCACTGAATACACTGTTACTATTATTGTTTTAAAGTATTGTCTTTCATGTCAATTAAGAATGAGAAAAACAAAAGACTTCATTTTACCTTCATTTTCTCCTTCTTTGATATTCATTTTTTCTGTAAATCCAAGTTTCTGGCCATTTTTTGACGATTCTTTCTGCTTCAAGAACTTCCTTTTTAAAATTTATTTTGTACATTGACAAATTGTAGTTGTATGTATTTATGGGTTATGAAGTGATGTTATTATTTATGAATATAATGTATAATAATTATATCATGCTAATTAACATAGCCATCACCTCAAATACCTATCAATTTTGTGGTGAGGACATTTAAAATTTATTTAGTGATTCTGGAGTACACAATTAGCTGTACTCATCATGCTGTGCAATAGATGTTTTTTAAAAAACTGCTTCTTTCTGTGTATCTGAGGCTTTGGACCTTTTGAGCATCATCTCTCCTTTACCCTACATTCCCCAGCCTCTGTAACCACCATTCTACTCTTATTTTCTTGATTGTCGTAGAGTCCACATGTCAGTGAGAACATGTAGCATCTTTTTGTGCCAGGTTTAATTCATTCAGCATAATATTCTCCAATTCTAGTCACGTCAAAATGACAGAATTTTTTCTTTATAGCTGAATAGTATTCCATGGCGTACATATACCACTTTTCTTTGTCCGTTTATCCCTTGATAGACATTTAGGTTAAATCCATAACTTGGCTACTGTCAATAGGGATACAATGAACATAGGAGTACAGACGTCTCTTTGACACACTGATTTCAAGTCTTTAGGCTAAATATCCAGAGGTGGGATGGCTGAGTCATATGATACTTCTACTTTTAGTTTTTCTGAGAAACTTCCGTACTGTTTTTCATAATAATTGTATTAATCTACATTCTCCATCATAGTGTACAAGGCTTCTCTTTTCTCTCCATCTGCACCAACTCTTATCTTTTGTCTTTTAGTTAACCATTCTGACAGATGTGAGGTAATATACCATTGTAGCTTTAATCTGCATTTCCCAAATGTTTAGTTATGCTGAGCACTTGCTGATATATCTGTTGGCCATTCTTATGTTTTGAGAATTATTCAAGTCCTTTGCCCATTTTCTAGTAGGATTATCTATTTTCTTTGCATAGAGTAGTTTGAGCTCCTTCTATATTTTGGACACTAACCACTTAACAGATATATGCCTTGCAAATATTTTCTCCGAATCACAGATTTTCTTTTCATTTGGTTGGTGTTACTGTTTCTCCCCAAAACTTTAAATTTTTTGCTCCATTCTTTTCCTGCTTGCATGGAAAAGAAGGTATTTAACAATAAGTCGGCTATAATTTTTGCCCTTGCTCCTGTATTGAGAAGGTATATTTTTCCACTGGCTTTTTTGAAAAATATCTTTAGTTGTTTGCATTTTAAATATGATATTCCTAGATGTGTTGTTGTTTGTGTATTTTGCATTTATCCTGCTGGTGTTCTTTTAGCCTTCGGACTCTGTGATTTGGGGAATCTGTAGGTAATTTTGGAGAATTCTCTGTCCTTACTATTTTAAATATTCATTCTGTGTAATCTTCTGCTCCTGGTATCCCAATCAAGCATGTTTTACATATTTTTAATTGTCTCACAGTTATTTTATATACTACTAGGATTTTTAAGTTGTTTTTTTCTTTCTATTTCAATTGACCTGTCATCACGCTTACTGATTTTTTTCTTCATCTATCATGTGTCTGCTGATGAGTCCATCAAAAGTATTCCTCATTTTTTGTTACAGTGTTTTTTTTATTTCTAGCATTTTCTTTATATTCTTTCTTAGAGTTATCATACATCTGCTTCAACTGTCCAACTGTTCTTCCGTGATAGCTACTGTTTACAATAGAGCTCTTTAAATATTAATCGTCATCATAATTATTGTAAATTCCTTGTGTGATAATTCCAACATCTGTGTTAGTTCTAGGTTTGGTTATGATGATTTCTTTTTTTTTTTCAGACTTTATTTGCATTTTTGCCTTTTAACATGCCTTGTAATTATTTCACTGGAAGCCAGACATGTTCTGTCAGTTAATATGAGTGAAATATTTAAGTCCTTATTGTGAGATTTTATGTTAATATGGCTAGGAGTTGAGCTTTGTATAATGTTTGCTATAGCTGTAGGTGACAGAGGCTTCACCTTTTTCTTTTTCTTCTCTCTTCTTTTCTTGTTGAGATGGAGTCTTGCTCTGTCACCCAGGCTGGAGGGCAGTGGTATGATCTCAGGTCACTGCAACCTCCACCTCCCAGGTTCAAGCGATTCCCCTGTCTCAGCCTCCTGAGTGGCTGGGATTGCAGGCATGCATCACCATGCCCAGCTAATATTTGTATTTTTAGTGGAGACAGGGTTTCACCATGTTGGCCAGGTTGGTCTCAAACTCCTGACCTCAAGTGACCTGCCCGCTCGGTCTCCCAAAGTGTTGGGATTACAGGCACACTCCTTTACTCTTCCTGTTTCTGTCTACTCTGTTGACTTTCGGTTTCCCTAAATTCCCCTCCTCAAGTTTACAACTTGAAAGTGTTACAATTATAGAGACAAAATATAAGTTGTGGCACTTTCAAATATAACCCACTGATGGGGTATATTTGATATAACCCACTACTGGGATGCAGGATTTTTTGCTCCTTAGCTCAGCTAAAATCTGGGTTCTTATTTCACGACCAGAAAAAATTAAGCACATGGACACATTGAAAGGTAAGGAGAATAAAATTTATTAAAAGAAAGCTCTCAGCAAAAAGGAGAGGATCCTGCCAACAGGCTCCCACCTCACAGAATGAATACCAGGCCACCACACATGAGTTGAAATGTCCAGACTTCTCCCCGCTGCGTAAGGCATGAATTCCTAGTGCGCAGGCAGGCCCCCAGTCCATTGCAGGCATGTCCAGACAAGGTACTAGGCAAGTTCCCTCATCTGCACAAAAGCATCTGATGTAAACACTTGTAGGGTAGGTCAGAGATTCTCTAAGGACCCTCTTTTATCTGCCTCCTGCATCTATCTACTGTACTGAAGCCCTGTTGGTGTCGTGCTAGGTAAGGGAAACCAGGGACATTCTACAATCTGATTAAATCTCAGTCTTTACAAGGCTAGTGTTATTGTGCTGTAACCTCCCCAGTGTTTCTCCAGTATTATAGCTTTGTCCTCCTGTTCCCTATTCCCTTCCTTGACTGAGATATTCCCAATCTACTTCCTTTAACCTATGACCTCTGTGGACCATGCTTAATTTTGTTGTTGTTGTTATTGTTATTTTCCACCAAGTGAGACAGGAAGGCTGGAGGCAACTGGAGTGGTAGGAATTGTCTTCCCCTAGCTGAAA